TAACTAGTTAACTAATACTAGATCTACCCAATCGTCCGAGCAGCAGTCAGGGAATCACAGGCAACTCAATCACATATGCTATTTCTGTTAGTGGATAAAACCTAAGATCACAATAGATAGATCGTAAAGTATCGTGGGTAAATTCACCCGCTTGGAGAGCCTTTGATTTTCAACTGAATACCAGTACTCGTATCATTCTACGTGATCAAGGAATTGTACTTGTGAAAAATCCAGAATATCACTCAGAATTCATTTTGCTTCTTTGATTGGGATAATCAGATCTCGTGTAGAAGGCAGCCCCGATGATGTCAGAGCAAGCGGTGTTCAATGCTCATTTACGCATGGGGAACAATCGCAAATATCTGCCACATGTACCCCCACGTGACCACGCGAGTTTCTCGTGACTACAACCACGTCCACAATATCCTGTTTAGGAAGATGGTCTCATAACTAGCTAAAAAGGTCCCGCTTTTGTAATCGCTAGAATCAGCTTTGATGCCGATAATTTGGCTGAAGGGCATTAGCTGTCATGGCTGGCGATTCCTGTGCGAACCCGTTACTCCTCGAATGGATCAAGGAATGGCTTGATGAGGCGCGGGAGCGTAATTCGAAGGGCGTCAATGTGTATGTGCTCTGCGAGTCCTCCCACGATACCTATCTTCTTGGGGGAAACTCATTCGTGCTAATTCCGTGATCTCAGATACAAAAAGGCATATGATTCCATGAAAGTTTGCCCAATTCCCTTCAGCCATCCTTCAGAAGCACAACAGCTCCATGGCTTTGGCCCGAGGTTATGTGACCGTCTAACAGCAAAATTGATTGCCCATTGCGAACAAAATGGGCTTCCTATCCCTGAATTACCACATCACGGTATACATTCGTTTTCACTTCCTCCTAGGTTTTTACGATCTGAAGCTGATGCCTTGTATTCTAGCCCGTAAAAGAACAGCACAGAATGGCAACGATGAATCCCAGCCGGCTAAGAAGCCAAAGAAAGTGAAGCCTTATGTGCCAGTTCTACGCTCTGGCCCGTATGGGCTGCTCCTGGGGCTTGCCAATATGGATGAAAATTCATCCCTTGGACTCACCAAACAGCAGCTTATTGAACTCGCCCAACCCTATTGCGATTCTTCATATACAGTGCCTCCTGACCCGTCTAAGTTTTATACAGCGTGGAATTCCATGAAAACTTTGGTACAGAAAGATCTTGTGTACGAGCATGGTCGGCCTTCGTCACGAAGGTATCTGCTCACCGATGAAGGATGGGAAATTGCGAGGAGGATTAAAAAGACTCTGCCAAGCGAGTGTTCTAATGAACTTGAAAACCGGTATAGCCAAGTAAGTAATGTTTACTTCCAACGGCACCTTTTTTTTTTTTTTTTTTTTTTTTTTGCCATCATCTGATCATTTTATAGCCGTCACGATCTGATCGACTTGGACGAGCTCATGAAATTGAATTGCAGCGGACTACGGATCCGTCAGCCTTTCTACCAAGTGGGGGCTTAGACTCAATTCCTCTCGTTCACCACCAGCACCCTAAGCAGCAAGTAATTGATCTAGAAGATTCGGACTCGGGAGAGAATTCGAATCCAGCCATTCCACGAATGCAAGAAGCTATCTCTACAAACATAACCTCATCCAATAGAGAGATATCGGACCAAAACGCCGATATATCATCGTCTACGCCTGCCTTCAGGCCAATAACACTCCAGCCGGACAGTTTCACCGTCGAGCTTGTCCTCGACGTTCGCGAAATACGCTCTGTGAAGGACAGAGATTACATCGCTAACGAACTCATGAAGAAGGGAATAACGCCAGTCGTACGTTCTCTTGAAGTCGGAGATGTGCTCTGGATCGCCAAATGCAGAGACCCAACGTTCCTCGCCCGGCACGGCGAAGAAGGAGACGAAGTCATGCTTGATTGGATTGTGGAGCGAAAACGTTTGGACGATCTAATCGGCAGTATCAAAGACGGGCGCTTCCGTGAGCAGAAATTCCGACTACGGCGTTCAGGGTTGCAGAATGTCATTTATCTAGTCGAAGACTTCGCTGATGCGGGTTCTGCCGCGTCGAAATATTACGAACATGTCTCATCGGCTATTGCATCCACGCAAGTTGTGAATGGTTACTTCGTCAAGCAGACGCGTAATCTAGATGATACCATCAGGTATCTAGCTCGAATGACGGAACTGTTGCGAAGAATGTACACCACCACCGCCGCCGCCGCCGCCGCCGCCAGTGGCTCTACTAGGACCACCACGCCGTGTTCCCTTTCAATCATTCCGTCCAAACACCTCACCTCCTCCCAAGCCTATCTAGATCTCCTCAAACGACTTCGCTCTCAGCCATCGCAACCCACCACCAGAAAACCAACATATACAGTCACATTCCCCAACTTCTCTTCCTTCGCCTCCAAGTCCGAAATGCTCACTCTTCGCGACCTTTTCTTGAAAATGCTCATGTGCACGCGTGGCGTGACGGCTGATAAAGCGCTGGAGATCCAGCGGCGCTGGCGGACGCCGCGGGAGTTTGTCGAAGCGTTTGAGGCAGCCTATCGAAGTCGGCCTGAGGGAGATGTGGCTGCGATGGAAAACATGGTGTTTGAAAAATTGGGGGGGTTGGTGGGGAGGAGGAAGGTTGGGAAGCAGGTTAGTAAGAAGATTGCAGAGGTTTGGGGGGTCAATAGTAATGGGAATTGGTACCGGTAATGACGGCCGGTTTTGGAATTGATGCTAGGATTCTTGTTTTGGGTGTTATTCTTGATTTTTCCGCTGCTATGGCGGTTTATTGTTTATTATTATTATTATTATTATTATTATATTATATATATATTTTTTTTCATTCATTGCGGCGGTATTTCGGTGTTTGTCATTTTGCATTATACGGGATATTTATATGCATCATGGCCGAGGGCCACTTACAATTTTGCGGCGGTCATCTCTCATCTTCCCCCGTTTATGATTTCAATTTCTCATTTTCTGATCTCATCCGTTCCGCTTTATCCTCTTCTTTTCCTATTCCACAGCGCTGCTCTGATTGTTCTGCCCTCTTGTTTATCCTTGCTATGTATATAATTTTATATTCTTTATTTTCGCCGCTGACACGGCTCCAGCCCTCGACTACATGGAGGTAAGTGGGCTCTCGCGAAGAAACTCAATCGAAAAACTAGTAAGTCATTTTTTTTGTTTATGTTCATGATACAGTTTTGCTACTGTACAATAACTACGCGTATTAGAGGCCAGATGAACGCTGAAGGGTTTTTTTTTTTTTTTTTTGCATGCGTGTATTTTATATATGTTTTTTGTTTAAACTTCGTCCAATAATTGGATTTTCATGACGTTAGATACATTGATTGTATCACACAGCTTCACTGCAATAACCCGAAATATTAGATAATAATAATCTGTGAAGAAAATGGTGCCAGTTAAATAATATATGTACAGTATAACTCGGTTAAAACATAATAATAAAGATGATGATGACGATGATTTGCTCAACAAAATGTGACCAAAGGGAGGGGAAATAAATAAATAAATAAATAAATAAATAAAAATAAAAATATTAGAACAGAATAAACCAGAATATTCATTATGTCATCTCCATGTGGAAAAAAAAAAAGAGAGAGAGAGAGAGAGAAAGAAAAATCTCGAGCGTCATTTTCAAGCCTTCGTTCAAAATCGCACTTCCGCGCAATTCCACGGGCTAAGCCCTCTCCATTCGAACCTCAGCGGCCAAACTACTAACCACCACCGAAATACTACTCAGCGCCATCGCCAAACTCGCCCAGACAGGATCAAGTCGCCAATGCTGATTCACCACCGTGCCGTCTTCCTTCACCTTCTTGCCCGTGACTATGGGGAAAAGCACGCCCGCCGCAACCGGCACCAGGATCATGTTGTAGATGGCGGCCCAGCCAAAATTCCACTTGACGCGGTTGAACACGCGCCTGCTGAGCGTGCATAATTCGAGGATGGTGGTCAGGTCTGAGTTGAGGAGGATGAAGCCGGCAGAGTTAACGGCGACGTCGGAGCCGGAGGCCATGGCAATACTCACGTTTGCGGCGGTGAGGGCGGGGGAGTCGTTGGTGCCGTCTCCGACGAAGGCGATGATGCGTTTCTTGTCGGGCTTTTCCTTGCTGATGCTGCTGCTGGTGTGCAGCTTGTTGTCTTGGATCTGGCGGATGTATTCTGCCTTTTGAGAAGGGAGGACGTTGGCCAGGACATTTGAGGCGGGGATTCCGATCGTGGCCGCCACGGCGTGTGCTGTGGTTTGGTTGTCTCCGCTACACATGAAAACTTCGATGTTTTTGGATTGGAGGCTGGATATCACACTTGCCGCTTCGGGTCGAATTGGGTCCGAAGTTGCGAAGACAATAGCAGGGACGAATGGGGAGGGAGCATCGGAGATTTGGCGAATAGCGAGGATGGCAGTGGACTTTGCCTCAGATTGATACTTAGTGAGTGTGTTGGATAGGAAATAAAAATCAGTTCCATTTTCGTCGACGAGAGAGTCTAACAGCCGTTGACTTCCAATAGCTGCCTCATATTTAACCTCTACACCGTTGACCGTTAGCGAGAACATTCCTTTCATTCCTTGCCCGGGTATCTCAGTTAGTGTTGAGGATATGACAGAGACGGAGGATTGCTCTGCACAGAAATCAGCAATCGCGTTCGCGATCGGATGTGTGCTGCTCTGTTCCAAAATCTTTGCCAAACCCCAGGCAACCTGTTGCTGTTCCTCGTCCGCGATAAGCATTTCATGATCAGATACCCGCAACGTCCCTCCTTCAGTCAACGTCCCCGTTTTGTCAAAGACAATGGCCTCAAGCTTACTCGCTTCCTGAAAGGCTTCACCACCACCCCTAACAAGGATCCCTCGTCTGGCAGCAAGGCCGCCACCAACAAAAAGAGCAGTGGGAGCTGCCAAAGCCAAACCGCAAGGACAGGCGACCACGAAAACGGCAATGGCGAACTTTAATGACCAAAATGCCCATCCGCCCTGAGCCGAATCGAGGTAGTCAGTAGGGAGACTGCCGGAGAGTCCCAAGCTGAGCCAGATCACGAATGTGAGGATAGCGATGAGGGTGATTACTGGTACGAAATAACTCGTCATGATGTCCGCTACCCCCTCAACAGGGGCACGCTTGGTCAGCCCCTCTCGGACAACAGCAACGATTTGATCAAGGATAGAAGTGCTACCGATATCGGATACTCGGATGTATACTGGTTGTCCAACGTTCACAGACCCTGAGTATACCTTATCTCCAGCAACTTTCGTAATCGACTTGGACTCCCCGGTCAGTGAGCTCTCGTCAAACCGGTACGTATCGGAACTGGTCACAATACCGTCAGCGGGCGGAGATGCGCCATGCGGGATGTTCACGATATCGCCAACTTCCAGCAGATCAACGTTAATGCGTTGGAGGTTGGAACTCGGCGCATCATCAGGGTTCGTCGACGGAGAATCAAGCACCAGAAGAGCCTCGGATGGACGAAGTTTACCCAGGGATGCGACAGCATCGCCGGCTTTCGCTTTGCTGTAAGCTTCCAAGAACCGTCCGGCAAGAATGAACAAGGTCAGGAAAACAACAGTGTCAAAGTACGGTGACATGTGGGCTTGGTGTTCCTCCATTCCAGCTGCGACAGCCAGCATCGCAATTGATGCAAAATAGGCCACGGAAGTACCCGCAGAAATGAGCAAGTTCATACTTCCAAAGCGGTAAAATCTTCGTAGGATTGGTACCTTGCTACGGGGTCTCCACAACGCTCTGATCTCCTTGAAAGCACGGACATGGAAAACATCGGCACCATAGCACATGACAGGTGTGGTGATGATGAACAACGCCCATTCCAGACGGGTCACCTGGCCTGCCCATATCGGTTCGTAGAAATATGTTCTTAACCTGTTAGTTGAAGGTACCAGGGACATCCAGACGACGCCTATCAGGAAGGTTGGAATCGCCGCGATGAAAACAAACAGCAAGCGTAGGAGTATGCGGCGTCTTTCGAGGAGCTGCATCGCACGAGAACGGTCCTCAATGGTTGGAGGATGATATATACTTGCTTTAAAAGCGTCGTTGGCAGATTCGATAACAGCAATAATTTTCCGGATTGTCATGGAAGGGGGGTTTGGTTGGTAAGTGATTTTCACGACATTCTTCTTGAACGTGAGGCTTTCAACGACTGAAACCGATTCACTGTCCATTGCTTCCAAAGCACTCAAGATCTTTTCAGGGCAGTGGTGGCAAAACATCCCATCAACTTGAATTTCAACCGTCCGTTTCAAGGGGCCGTTGTCGTCCGGTCCGGTTCCATTTTGTTTGAGCGGAACACACTGTGTAACCACAAATTCATATCCAAGACCCTCAACAACTTGCTGAATCTCATCGAGTCTCTCACGACCTTCGAATTCAAACTTTGCACCGGAGCCCAGAAGGTCGACAACAACATTAGTAACAAAAGGGAGTTCCTGGATTCCGCGTGTGATGGTTCCTACGCAGGAGCCGCAGGTCATCCCTCCGATGCTGGCGGTGGCAGCGTAGATGTCCCGGCGCGACGGTGGAGAACTCTTCAAAGAGATGTCTTGAAATTCCCCTTCGTAACCGAGGCCATCGATTACCGAGAGGACTTCATCGAAGTTCTCTTTCGGGCCCCGGATGGTGAGTGACGCACTATGCGTCAAAAAAGCAACGTCGACGGATTTCACAAAACTAAGTTGCTCAATCGCGCTCGTCACAGTTCCAGCGCACGAGGAACACGACATCCCAAATATGCTAATGGATGCATTGTATTCCTCGTCAGTCAGAGCAAGACCCTTCTCGAGATCGGGGACATCGCTTCGTTCAATCATCCAAGACTTGTCTGCTACCTTCTCCGGCTTTTTGGAAAGGTCATTGCCCATCGGCGTTTTGTCCCCAACAGCATGAAGCTGCGGGAAGCTCGACAGGTCCTTCTTTTCATCTGCTTGGGTCCTAGCCAGCTCTTCAGCACGACAAGCGTCACAGTTGTCAATATGCGTTCTATTCCTTGCCTGGACGATCTTGTCACCCTGGACACCTGTGCGGAACAGGTGACGTTCTATGAACGGACTCGCGGGTAGGGAAATGTCAATGTTGCTTATTTCTGCTCCTGACTCATCGCGAGAACTTGCATGGTAGACCTCAAAAGCAGCATTAATCAGAGCGTTCACGAGATGAGTGGTTGATACCTCCGGACCATGGCGGATGTGGACCTTGTGGGCGAGTATTGTCACATCAACGCTGATGATGTGGGGGATATGGAACAGGACTTCCTTTGCATATGCCACGCATGATGCGCAGTGGATATTATTGACGAGGAGGACGGTTGTGGTGGTTTTGGGCCCTGCAGATAGCAGCGGGGGAGATGTGCGCTTGGCCACGGCGGCCGGCTTCGGGATTGGCTGATTGTCTGCCATCGTTATTCCGCAAGATAAAATAGCGGCCAAGTAGCATACGAAGATGGTGACCAGATGATTGCGGCGTAATAGTGTAGAGTGATTGGGGGAGGCCAGAAAATTGGGCTGAAAGCGTGGCTATTTAGATCGGTTTTGGCAAATATTGCTTCAGCAGAAACCTGCAAACGCACCTGTTTCTTGAAATGAGATAAAAGAAGAATATGTTGTTTGGAGTACGGGGGTGACGGGTATATATATATATATATATTTATATTTATATTTATATTTATTTGAGCTTTTGTCAAGTCGGAGGGAGGAGCCGTCATGCAGCAGGAATCAATCAACCATAAGAAAATGGATGACTCTTCAATGAAAAATCCAGAAGTCAAATCCACATCTTATATATATGGCATTTCATAGAAACTCCACGAAGGCCAGCTGCGTGACTTGTGCGGGATTCTCGCACTCAATGGCGGGCAATGGAAGGTTTGCGAGCGGCGTCTAGCCCAGCACGCACAAATCGCGCAGCCTGCCGCCTCCGTCCCTCCAGCGCCCCGGGGAACAAACCGCCCGTGGGATGTGGATCGAGGTCATCCCGAGAGGCTCGGCTTCCGTCATTCTGGAACAGGTGAACGAGCTGATTAGTCAAGGATTGTTGTGTGTTGGCCCAGGAGAAAAAGCAGCGAGAGGACTGTACCGACGCTGGCTTTCTGGTCGGTTCCCCGCCATTCTATTGTTGACGTTCAGGTACAAACTACCACTAGCCCCCGAGTTAATCATCGGGTTCGCCGCGCCTAAGCAAACGCCCAGGTGGTGCGACTGTGCGACTTTTTTGCCATGTGGCGGTACCTGGAGCCGAGTTATATTATATTAGTTTTATATACTCCGTATTCTGTACATGGTCGTGGGACAAAAGCTCTTCCACTGCACCGTCAACCCCCAGGCGTAGCCATCCGTACTGAGGCATTGAACAGACCCCAGAGCAAGATGGAGGTAGAAGGTCATTCATTGTATCACTATTATTGTCTCCTCCAGCTTGTTTTCAAAAATACCGATCGGGCGTCTGCTCCTCCCACGGCTCGAACCTGGGGCGCCACCTGCGGCACGTGTTCAACGCTTAGTCACTGTGTTAGCCGCTGCACCACGCTGGGTGCGCCAAGCCGCCGCTGGCCCGTCTCTGGTCAATTCGCCATCCATGCGCATTCTTCGTCTTCATGCTTCATTCTTCCGCTGCTCGTGGTCTCAGCCGGCAAACCGACCTACAGATATTGCTGCTTATCCATATCCTATATCTTCCTTTTCTTCTTCATTTGTGAAGCGGCACTCTATCCGTATCACACTACATATAGGCAAGGGGTTTCTATATCAGCCGTGCCAATTCGTGAGCACTCCCTCATTCCTCTGATATATCCGTCTTAAACTTGCTCTCTCTCCCCCAGAGGGAAAAGGAATACAAAAACTAATTGCCCATGTATATAGCTCTATCGGCAAGCCGCGGGTCCTCCCGCCTTCCCGCCTTCCCACCATGACCAGCATGCGCCCGCCCGCCCGCTTCCCCCGGGCTCCAGGCGGTGGGATACGCGGCCCGGTCCAACGCCTCGCCAGTCTCCGCAACCCCAATCCCATCCCGAGTCCTCGCCCGCGCCTGCAACAAAAGCCCACCACCCATCCCAAGACCTCAACCTGCCCAAACCCTGGCTGTCCGGCCCCGAATATCGTGGAGGATGATGGCATGAAAGTGTGTTCGGGCTGCGGGACTGTCGTCAGCGAAGCGAACATTGTCTCGGAAATCACATTTGGCGAATCCGCGTCTGGTGCTGCCGTTGTGCAAGGCACCTTTGTCGGGGCGGGCCAGAGCTATGGGCGCAGCTTCGGGCCTGGGTTCCAACGGGGTGGTGGCATGGAGAGTAGGGAGATTACGGAGCAAAATGGTGGGTGTTTTGTCCTTGAACCCTTTCTAGTTTGATATTTATTTTTATTTTTTTATCCTCTTTCCCTTCCCCCCCCCCCAAGATAACAGGATGGCGCCCATTGATATAATGTATATATTTATATTTTGATTCAGTCACTGATAGTAGCCATTAGGAAACCGCTATATTGCCCAGTTATCTCGAGCTTTGAACGTCCCAGAGAGCGCCACCAAGGCTGCTGGTCAAGTTTTCAAGCTTGCGGTGGGGTTAAATTTTATCCAAGGTCGCCGCACAAAAACCGTTGCGGCCGTGTGTCTGTATATTGCCTGTCGCCGCCAGGATGGAAATACAGTCATGCTGATTGACTTTGCCGATGTGCTGATGGTATGTACGTCTGTTCTACTTTGCACAATTGTTCATAGACTCTAACCGATATTTTTTTTCCCTTTTTACTAGATTAATGTGTTCAAACTCGGTCGTGCGTACAAAGCATTACTTGACGAGCTACGTCTGGGCGGAAACGTCTTTATCATGAACCCCATTGACCCAGAAAGCTTAATCTACCGGTTCGCGAAACAGCTTGAGTTCGGTTCCTCGATGATGCAGGTTGCAAGCGAGGCAGTACGCATTGTGCAGCGAATGAACCGCGACTGGATGATTACCGGTCGGCGCCCCGCAGGCATTTGCGGAGCGGCCCTAATCCTTGCAGCCCGCATGAACAACTTCCGACGAACTATCCGCGAGGTCGTGTACGTGGTTAAAGTAACGGAGCTCACGATCCATCAACGGTTGAAAGAATTTAAAGCGACGGAAAGCGGAGACCTCACCGTCGACCAATTCCGTTCCGTCCAGTTGGAGAACGCACACGACCCGCCTGCCTTCACGCAGGGAAAGAGATTGAAACAGGCAATGAAGCAGAAAAACGCAAGCACTGAAATCGCAAACGGCGATGAGGACGAAAATGCCCGACAGCTAACAACAACATCTTCCGCTCCGAGAACAATGCGAGTAGACGCAGATGGCTTCGCTATCCCAGACGTCCCCATCGATCCCGCCTTGTTAGCCGACAAAGACGGGGTGGTCCCCCCAGGTCCCTCAACAACAAAAGCCAAACGCGGCCGACCAAAGGGCGCCAAAAACTTCCGCCCCCCACCCCCAACAGCATCCGAACTAGCCTCTGAATCCGCCCTCGAATCCGAAATGCAAGAACTCCTCACAACGGGCACGAACCTGCTCGCCTCCACAAATTGCACAACCTCTCACACCGCGCCAACAGCACAGTGCACCGCCACCCCCCAGCCGCCGAAACCGATCCCTTCAACCCCGGACATCGACGCCAGCGAATTCGACTCCGATCCGGAAGTAAAATACTGCCTCCTCTCCCCCGCCGAAGTCGAGATCAAAGAGCGTATCTGGGTCCACGAGAACAAGGACTATCTGCGCATGCAACAGGCTAAAGCGCTCAAGCGCGCGTTGGCGGCGGAGGAGGATTTGATGAACGGGCGGGTGCCTGGTAGTGGCATGGGCCGTCGACCGCGGAAGAGAAGAAAGGGGCGGATGGGCGATGTAGGGTATTTGGACGGGAAGGAGGGGGGAGGTGAGGAAAGTATGGATGGGGGGGGAGGGGCCAGGGGAACGAGAGCATCGACGCCGGCGGAGGCGACGAGGAGGATGCTTGAGCAGAGGGGTTTTAGCAAGAAGATTAATTATCGGCTGCTGGAGGAGATGTATGAGGATGGCGATGAGAGGAAAGCGGTTGAGAGGAGGGGGAATAGTGAGAGTGGGGAGGGAGAGGGTGGGAATGGAGGGTGGAGGAGGAGCAGGCGGAGTGCGAGCGTATCTAGCGTGCGGAGCTCTATTGTGGTTTCGGACCGGAGTGCTGCTGCTGCTGCTGCTAGTGGTGCTGGTCTTGGAATCCGGGGCCCGGTCAGAGAGAGGGTTGTCAAGGGAAGTAGGTCCGGGAGCTCTGTTCCTGCTTTTGTTTCTGCTGTTCCTACAATCCCTTCCCCAGCGCCAGCTCCAGCGCCAACATCCTCATCTACACAACCCCAACCCACCGCCACCACCCTCGGAGAGGAGGCAGAAGCAGCCACGCCAACACCACCCTCGACAAACCCCCACGAGGAAATCCTCGGCTACATCCCCGGTCCCGAGCGGGGCGAAGAGGACGCGGACGTAGATGGAGAAGATACGGACGATGATGAGGAGGATGTGGTGGAGGATGACCATGTCGACGAGGCCTTTGCGGGCAATTATTACGGAGGGGCCAGCGACGATGACGATGATTATTACTTTTAGCCGTGCTATTTCTATCTTTTTTTTTCCTTCTATTCTTTTTCTTGCTTGCTTGCTCGCTTGCTCGATTAGTTGATTGATCGATCAAGCCTACATCTATCATCTACATTGGTTACGATGAAAACATGTTACCACTACTGTACATGTACATGTACATACAGGCATACAGGCATACACACACACACACACACACATTGTATACACACATCACACACCATCTCTATACATACATACATACTCCAAGTACACGTACAAAACAACAAGAACAAGAGCATATTCAATCGATGCCCGGCCGCCGACGCTGAGCGGAACTGGAGTCGGTCCCGGTCCCGGTCCCGGTCTCCGGTTCTGGTTCAGTTCTGGCCGAATGGAGGGAGCAAACAAGCCCAATCTCGCCTCGCTGTCGCATCACGTACTGCATCCCGTACTGTAGTACAAGACTAGTTACAAGACTAGACTACAAGACTACAAGACTACAAGTACTCCGTACAGTTACAAGTCCAATCCAAGCAAGCAAGCAAGCAGCCAGCTGGTACTGTACCCCTTCGATGATATCTCAAACTCAAACTCAAAAACTCAACCTCAACTCAAACAAAACAGATCTCAAACAAAACTCGACCCGACCTGAACATAGTAGTTATTTCTTCGTTTTTGGAGAAAGGAGAACAGAAACACAGACGAAAACAAAAACGAAAACGAAAACAAAAACGAAATAAACAATAGAAGAAAGATAAAACTCGTAGATAACTATGTAACTACCCCGTAGTTATGTAACTGGTTAGTTAGTTAGTCAGTCAGAGCAATTTTCCCATCCATATCTGACTGACTGACTGAGCCTGAGTTATTAACACTTTTGACTTTTTGACTTTTTTTTTTCCCCCAAAATAAAGTCCGTAGCGGAAGACAGCTAATTAGTAACTTATTAAACTTGTCGATTCTTTCCTTGCTCAACTATATATATATATATATATTTACTATTTACTATTTACCACTACTTTCATTTTGCATTTATTCACTTTACTTAGTTATTGATTATTCTATCTATATCTCATTCACATATATTCATTCAATACAAACTTCTTTCAAAACTTTTTTTTTATAAAATCTCAATTGGTTTTCTTTTTCTTTTTCTTTCTTTTCACTTTAACTATTTATTTTTCTTTTCTTTTCCATGTTTGTGTGTTTATTTCTACATTTCATTTCTTCATCAGAAAACAACATTCCCTCATTTCTTTCTTTTGTCTCTGCTCATAACAACCGGAGAGGCAGCCATGAGCATGTGCATGTATGCAGGTGAAAAGGAAACAAAAGGGGGGTGGGGGACAAACAAAGGGTTTCCACCCTAGTTGCTCTGCTTTAGGGAAAAAAATGAAAAGCAGACAACTTAAAACAAGGAATGAAACAGAACTGACAGAGCAGATGAAGAAGAGATGGAGAAACAAGCAGAGTAGAATGAGTTTGCATGAGGGAAGGAGAAAAAAAGAAATAGAGAGTAAAAAAGGCCCCTCTTAATGCGCAGCAGCCAGCCCCCCGGAGAGAAATAAAATAAAAGGGGGAACATCCATATCAAATGAATAGCAAATCAAACCGGCAGTAATGACAATGCATGTGAAGGGAAGAAGCGAGTACAAGGAGGAAAAACGGGAAATATAAAACGGAAGAAAGAAAATAACACAGATAGCGGAATGGTTGATACGTGTAGAAGCAAAGCAGTTTACATAGTGGAAAAAACTCCCAGAGCAAAGAAAAGAAGAAGAAAAGAAATTGCAAAAGGAGAAATAAAAACAGAAGCAAAGGAAATGTTATCGGAACAAACCATAATCGAAAGAAAAGCGCAGTAGCAAAGGCCAAGGCCCTTGAACCTGCCTCTGCCTCGGCCGCTGGCCCCCAAAGTCGAGAGGGAAATCGGCAAAACGAGAAGTACGGACCGGACGCACGGACGATCTGGAAAATGGACATCGGCAGCTCCGTTCAATGGATGTTTCGATTTGGCCGTAGTCGATATAGAAAGAAAAGCCGTTGTCGGAACGACATATCCCTGAAAAAAAATATATATATATAAAATATAAAATAAAATAAAATCCAATGTCGCGCGAAAACCGTTAAAAAAACACCTTACGCATCATATATATCGGTTTTTCTTAATAAAAAAAATCGTCGTCGTTGAGCTTAATGTTTCTTTTCTTTTCTTTTCTTTTCTTTCTTTCCTTTTATTACCAGTCAATATCCATCCCCATCCCCATGTCCACATCCGTACCGATCGCATCAACAGCGCCATCTCCACACCCAACCAGCACTCCTTTATCCCCCACGGCCCTCTCTGCCGCTGGCACTGCAGACGCTAACGCGGACGAAGCCCTCAGCACCGGCGAGCCATCTTCATACCGAAACGGCATCTCGCGCAGGTTGTGCAGGCAAGAGTCCCAGTCATTACCCACCAGCCGCGCCTCAGCCAGGTCTTCGCTGAAGAGATAGAAGCGAGTCGCAGTGCCATTGGCATCTGTATGTGTTGTATCTGTATCTGTATCTGTATTTGGCATCCAAGGATAGGAAGACGACGACGGTGACGACGATGATGACGATGAAGCAGAAGCAGAAGCAGGAACCTGCGCCGCAACCAAAAACGCCCCGAGCCCGCGATGTTTGAGCAGGATTTCCGCCTGGGAGATGTAGGTTGCGTAGTGATTTTGGATATACCGCTCCCAACCGCGGAGGGCGGCGGCGACGTCAGCGTCATCTGTGCGCGAGACGCGTTGCCAGCTTATGCCTAGGAGGAGGGTGAGGGAGTCGAGCTGCGGTTCCTGTGGGATTAGGGGGTGGAAGGAGGAGAAGGACAAGGAAGAGGGTTGGCGTTTGGGTTGGTGGTAGTCATTATGATTGTCTTGCATTGAAGATGAAAGGGGGGCGGAGTTGGATTGAAGCTTGGCTTGGATAGTAGCCAGGGCATTATCGTCCCAGGCGGCTGCAGCGGCGGCGGATGCATCTAAGCGTTGCGATTTAGGGCTGTGGAGGCATGAGGAAGGTGAGGTATTGCCAATTCTCACTCGCGGCTCGGCAGGCCCATGTCG